TTAGGGTTTAGGGATTAGAGATTTAGGGATTTAGGATTTAGGGTGTCATCCCTTAAGTGTTTAGGGTTCAGGGTTTAGGGTTAAGGGATTGTGACTAAGGGTCTGGGACTTGAGGGCTCAGGATTTGCGACGTCGGGTCTAGGACAAAGGGTGCAGGGTTTAGGAGTGAGGGGTTGTGATTAAAGGGTTAGGGTCTAGGGTTTAGGTTTCAATGCAGTGACTTGTTGAGCTGGGAGGTAGGTTTCTAGTTGGGAGTCTGTGAAGCTACTGGGTTGGTGTTGAGGAACTTAAGTTAACAGAATAGGGACACATCAGTAAATAGTCAACATTGTCTCCTTGCAATGGTAATTTCAACAGCAGCCCGAGCAGGGTTTATGAAAGAAATCTGCAGCCCCCTACCTAACTTGAGCTATAATTTAACTCTTTGAAAGGGGGTTCTATAGGGGATTGTATAGGGGAGTACTATAGGGGCTATGAAGGGGGATACTAGGAGTCTAGACTATAGCTCGCTTGAAGTCCTAGGAAGTATCCTAAACCCCAAACCCTAACTACTCTAAACTCTAAACCCTAAACCCTGAACCCCTAAACCCTAAACCCCTGAACCCTAACTTCCCCAGGAATTAAAGTAATTTGAGGCCCCAGAGTTCTTCCATCAACTTAGTGGAGCTTAGGGCTTTCAAAGCCGGGGCAAGTAGCAGCCTGAAGTGTTTCCGATATTAGCTCGTAACAACGCTGATAAAGCCTAGTATAGGGTTCAGGGTTTAGGGTTTAGGGTGGATGGAGGAAATCTTGCACCGCTTAGGATGTCCAAAGCATTTGTAAATGATAGGGTTTAGGCTTTATGCAAGATTTCCTCCATCCATAGTGTGTACCCCAAAGCCTTATTGCATTTGTTTACATTCCTTTAAGGGCTTCATTGGGACACAGGGAGAGATGTTGGCTGTTGGGTTTGTGGGCATGGCTTCTAGGTCCGGTTTTGCAGCCAAGTTTCTCCAAAGTAGGGTCCTCAAAGAAGGAGCATGTGCAGAAAATCAACATGCTTTGTTCACAGTCTAGGGTTCAGACGCGGAGACCATGGGACTCATTTTATGTGCGTCCATGGCATTAGGTAGATAAATCCTTCGCACTCCTCCTTGCCCGTGCCATGAAGATTCCATGAGCGCAGTCAATTGGAATCGTGGTCCTTTGGGTTCCAACTCTGTTTTATGGGTGTTCCGCGAAATTTTCTCAATGTTGCTCAAGTTCGGATGTAAACTTACTGGTGATTAGCAGGGAGTAAGGGAATAGAATCCCTAGATTGATATAACCCCTTCATTATACAGTATACATTCCCTTATTCCTCACTCAGCCTCAGCAAGTAGAGCATTTGGGGTTCTTGCAATTGGCAGTTTTCTGGGTTCTGGGAAGTAAAGCAGCAACCTTGATTAGGCCTCGGTTGGCATGCCTCCAGCAAGGACCCTCTAGCAGTGGTATGATAGCTACCAGGTCCAGGTTTTGGGAAGGGGGGTGGGCTATCAGGCATCTCTTTCTATGTGGCTTTTCAAATATCACGCGCCCATAAGCATGCGTT